TCAGAAAGAACAACTGAAGGCAGAATATGACATATTCCAGATTTGGAATTTCCCAAATGGTCTTGGACTTAAGGTGAAGATTGGAATGTTTAGCCCATATTTTCCATATGGTCAACAGCTCCATTTATATGAAGACATTATAGAGTGGGCCACAGGAAGTACAAAGGTGGGTCTGACCTGAATCTTCTGATTTCCATTACACAGTATTTCCATATCTGATTCCTTGTAACTTAGTGAAATGAAATAGATTGTCACCTTATGGACCATTCTTTAGCCTCCTTTGGTATGACTCTCCTTTTTACTTTTTGATATGATGTTTTATTAATTCTTTGAAGATATCAGACATGAACACATTGAATATTTATCATACTAGAACATGTTTCTGTTTTTTAATATAATTATAAAAATGCTTGTTAGCATTGTTTAATATTATTTCCAGTAACATGAAATTCTCTTGGTACCACTCTGAGTACTACACAATGATTTTCCTCTTTTCTGCTGAACGCTTCACACCAGTGCTGAAAAACTGAGGCTAATTGTAAATGAGGAGAAAATTACAAATATGCAAATCATTATTTTTATTACAGATTGAGTTCAAGAATAGTCAGGGCTACAAAGAGAATCCTTGTCTCTAAAAACAATACAAAAAAAAGAAGAAATGGGCAGAAAGAAGGAAAGAAAGAAAAGGAAGACATGCCAGTAATTAAGGTCATCTCTTAATTGTTTTATTTAAAACAAAATTTTATTTATTTTACATACCAAACACAGATTCCCCCTCTCATCCCTGCTCCTGCACCCCCTATCCTTGCCTAAACCCCCCCTGAGCTACCCTTGTCCCCTCCTGTAAAAAAGTAAGTTCTCCCAAGGAGGGACAGCAAAGCCTGGTACATTCAGCAGAGGTAGAACCTAGGCCCTAACCCCGGCCTCAAGTGTTAGCAAGGTATTCAACCATGGGTAATGGGATTCAAAAGGCCAGCTTATGCATCAAAGATATACCCTAATCACTATGCCATGTTCCCTCAAACAGATCCAGCTACACAACTGTCTTCTATATGCAGAGTGTCTAGTCTGGACCAATGCAGGTTCCATAGCTGTTGGTCTAAAGTTTGTGTGTTCCTATGAGCTTGGTTGAGCTGGCTCTGTAGATTTCCCCAGCATAATCTTGATTCCCATTGCTCATATAATCCCTCTTCCCTCTCTTCAACTGGACTCCCAGAGCTCCAGAGCTCCACCTGGTGCTTGGTTGTATATCTCTGCATCTGCTTCTATTGGTTACTGGATGAAGGCTGTATGGTGACAGTTAGGGTATTCACCAATCTGATTACCAGGATAATCCTGTTCAGGAACCCTAACCACTACTGCTAGTCATCTAATCTTGGGGTATCCTTGTGGATTCCTGGGAATTTCCCTAGCACCAGGTTTCTCTCCTACACTATAATGTCTCCCTCTATCAAGATATCTCTTTCATTGCTCTCCCACTCCATCACTCCTCCAGCTAGACCACCCTATTCTGTCATGTTCTCATTCTCCATATTCACCCCTCAATTGCCCCTCCATATTCCCAGTTCACTCCTGAAGATCTCTGTTTCCCCTTCCCAAGGTGATTCTATGTCCCTCTTAGGGTCTGCCTTGTGTCCTAGCTTCTGTGGAGATGTGGGTTGTAGTCAGATCATCCTCTGCTTTATATCTAGTATCCACTTATCCTGTTTGTGCTTCTGAGTCTGGGTTACCTCACTCAGGATATTTTCTAGTTCCATGTATTTATCTACAAATTTCATGATGTCATTTTTCTCTCTACTGAGTAATAGTCCATTGTATGTATGTACCACATTTTCTTTATCCACTTTTCATTTGACGGACATCTAGATTGTTTCCAGGTTCTAGCTATTATGAAGAATGTGGATATGAACATAGTTGAGCAAGTGTCCTTGTGGTATGATTGAGCATCCATTGGGTATATGCCCAAGAGTGGTATAGCTAGGTCTTAATGTAGACTGATTTTCAGTTTTCTGAGAAGTCCCCATACTGATTTTTGGAGTGGCTGTACAAATTAGCACCCCCACCAGCATGTCCTTTCCTTACAGAAGGTTCTCAGTTTCAGGAGGTATCATTTATTAATTGTTACTCTCAGTGTCTGTGATACTGTTGTTATATTTAAGAAGTGGTTTCCTGTGTCTATGCTACTTCCTACTTTCCCCTCTTTCAGGTTCAGTGTAGCTGGATTTATTTGAGCTTTTTATTTTATAATTTAATTTAATTTTACATATCAGCTGCAGATTTTCCTGTCCTCACTCCTCCCGCCCCCTTTCCTTCCCCCTAGCCCACCCCCCAATTCCATCTCCTCCAGGGAAAGGACTTCCCTGGGGATTCAGCTCAGCCTGGTAGATTCAGCTGAGGCAAGTCCAGTTCTCTCCTTCACCCAGGCTGAGCAAAGTGTCCCTGTATAAGCCCCAGGTTCCAAACAGCCAGCTCATCCACTAAGGACAAGTCCTGGTCCCACTGGCTGGGGGCCTCCCAAACAGTTCAAGCTAATCAACTGTCTCAGTTATCCAGAGGGCCTGATCTAGTTGAGGTTTTTGATACACATTGATTTGAGTTTTGTGCATAGTGATAAATACGGATTTGTTTGCAGTCTTCTACATGTTGGCACACAATTATGCCAGCACCATTTTTTGAAGATGCTTTCTTTTTTCCCTTGAACAATCTTTGTTTCTTTGTAAAAAAAAAAAAATCAGATGTGCATAGGTGTGTGGATTAATATCAGTAACTTCACTTTGATTCCATTTGTCCACATGCCCATTTTTATGCCAATATCAAGCTTACTTTATTACAACAGTTCTATAATAGAGCTTGAAGTCAGGAATGATGATCCCTCCAGAAGTTGCTGTATTTCACAGGATTGTTTTAGCTATGTTAGGTTTACTGTTTGTCCATATAAACTTATGTAATGTTCTATTGAGGACTGTGAAGAGTTGTGTTGGGATTTTGGTGGGAATTCAATTGAATATGTAAATTTATTTTGTAAAGATTTCCATTTTTATTATGTTGATTATACCTGTCCATGAGCATGGAAGAACTTTTTTATTTTCTGATATCTTCTTCAATTTTCTTCTTCAAGGACTTAAAGTTCTTGTCATACAGGTCTTTCATTTGTTTGGTTAGAGTAACCCCAGGGTATTTTACATTATTTGTGGCTATTGTAAAGGATAATGTTTTTCTGATTCCTTTCTCAGCCTGTTTATTATTTGTGCATAGGAGAGCTATTGATTTTTTAAATTAACGTTTTATCCAGCTACATTAATGATGGTACTTCTCAGTTGTAGAAGTTCCCTGGTGGAATTTTGGGGGTCACATATGTCGACTATCCTATCATTTCCAAATAATGTTTGACTAATCTGTCTAATTTGTGTGCTTTTCATATCCTTTTGTTGTCTTATTGCTCTAGCTAGGACTTTGAGTACTATATTGAATAGATATCGGGAGAGTGTACAGTATTGTCTTGTTCCTGAAATAAGAGACATCACCTTGAATTTCTGTCCATTAGTTTGATGTTTGCTAACAGCTTCCTGTAAACTGCCTTTATTTTGTTTAGGTGTATTTCTTGTATTCCTGATTTCCCCAAGAACTTTATAATGAAGGGATGTTCGATTTTGTCAAAGGCTTTTTCAGCATCTATTGTGATGATGTCGTTTTTTTTCTTTCAATTTGTTTATATGATGAATTACAATGATAGATTTTCATATGTTGAACCATCCCTGCATCTCTGGTATGTAGCTTACTTCATCATGGTAGATGATTTATTGATATGTTTTTGGATTTGGTTTGCCAGTATTTTAATGAGTATTTTCTGCATCAATGTTCATGAGGGAGATTGTTCTGTAATTCTATTTCTTTTGCATCATTGTGTGGCTTGGCTATCAGGGTAGCTGTAGCTTCATAGAAATAATTTGGCAATGTTCCTTCTGTTTCTATTGTGTTAAAAAGTTTGAGGAGCATTGCATTATTGTATATTTGAAATTTTGGTAGAATTCTGCACTGAATCCATCTGGCCATGGGCTTTACTTATGGATGATAGGTCTATTTAAATTGTTTAACTGGTCTTGATTTAATTTTGGTATATGGCACTTATCTAAAAATTTTCCATTTCTTTTAGATTTTCCAGTTTTGTGGGGTACAGATTTTTGAATTATGACTTGATGATACCCTGGATTTCCTCATTCTCAGATGTTATGTATCCTTTTCATTTATGATATTGTTAATTTGGATATTCTATCTCTGCCTTTTAGTCAGTTTGGATAAGGGTTTTTTTTTTCTATCTTGTTGATTTTCTCAATGAACTAACTCTCTGTTTCATTGATTCTTTGTACTGTTCTCTTTATTTCTATTTTATTGATTTCAGACCTCAATTTGATTATTTCCTGGCATCTATTCCTCCCGAAAGAGTTTGCTTCTTTTTCTTCTATAGCTTTCATTTATGCGGCTAAGTCGTTAGTGTGAGATATCTCCAACTTCTTTATTTAGGAATTTAGATCTGTGAATTTTCCTCTTAGTACTGCTTTCCTACTGTTCCATAAGTTTGGTATGTAGTACATTCATTTCCACTTAAATCTCGGGAGTCTTTGATTTCTTTCTTTATTTCTTTCTTGATGCAGTGGTGATTTGGTTGAGCATTATTAAGTTTGAATTAGTTTGTAGGCTTTCTGTAACTTGTGTTTCTGTTGAATTCCAACTTTAAGACATGGTGGTTTTGACAAAGTACAGGAGATTATTCCATTTATTAATGTAACTGTTGAGATTTGCTTTGTGACCAAGTTTGTGGTCACATACTTAGAGAAGGTTCCATAGGGTGCTCTAGAGTTTGGTTTGAATGTTCTCTAGATGTTTATTAAGTCAATTTGAGTCATAACATCTCTTAGTTCCATTATTTCTCCACTAAGTTTCTGTCTGGCAGACCTGTCCACTGGAGAGAGTACAGTGTTGAATTTTCACACTATTAGCGTGTGAGGTTTTATGTGTGATTTAAGCTTTAGTAATAATGCTTCTTTTACAACTGTGGATGCCCTTCTATTTGAGGCAAAAATGTTCAGAATTGAGACCTCATATTGATAAATTTTTCCTTTGATGAATATGTAATGTCCTTCTTGGCCTCCTATGATTAATTTTAGTTTGAAATCTGTTTTTTTAGATATTAGGATAACTTCACCATCTAGCTTCTTAAATTTGTTTGAATAGAAAGGCTTTCCCCAGCCTTTTACTCTGAGATAGTACCTGTCTTTGAAGTTCTGGTGTGTTTTTTGTATGCAGCAGAAGGATGGATCCTGTATTCATATCCATTCTGTCAGCCTTTGACTTCTTATAGGCAAATGGAGTCCATTGATATTAAAGGATATTAATGACCATTGATTCTTAATTCCTGTTATTTTTTGGTGGTAGTGTTGTGTGTTTCCCTTTTTGGGGATTTGTTGGTGTATGATTATGTATTTCCTGTGTGTTCCTGGGTGTTTATAAATTCCTTAGGTTGGATTTTTCTTCTAGTGCTTTCTATAGGGCTGGATCTGTGGATAGGTATTGTTTAGATATGATTTTATCATAAGAAAGTTTTCTTCTATGATTTTTGTTGAATATATTCTCTGTGTTTTTGAGCTGCTATTCTTCTCCTTCTTGTATCCACATTATTGTTAGGTTTGGTCTTTTTAAAGTGTCTCAGATTTCTTGAAGGTTTTGTGTTATGACTTTGTTGGCTTTAATGTCTTCTATAACTGCTGAATCTATTTTCTCTATCGTATCTTCAGTGCTAGAGTGTCCTTTTTTCCATTTCTTGCATTCTTTTGGTTATGCTTGCATCTGTATTTCCTGTATATATGCTCAGATTTTATTTTCCAGTATCCCGAGTTTATGTCTTCTATTTGGCCTCTATTTTAGTTTTCAATTCTTACACTGATTCTTTCACCTGTTTTACTGCGTTTTCTTGCCTTTCTTTGGGGGACTTATTGATTTCTTCCAATTTTTTGTTTCTCTTTGCCTCAATTCCTAAAGGGAATTTTTCATTTCCTCTTTAAAAGATACTGTCATTTTAAAATCATTTTAAGGTCATTTTCCTCTATTTCTTCTATTTTGGGATGTTCTAGTCTTGCTGATATAGAACCAAATGGTGATGCCACATTGGTCTTTATTGTGTTGAATATGTTCTTACACTGGCATCTACCCATCTTTTGCTCCAATCAGTGCCAATGGTTTCTCTGTGTCAGGGAGCCACACTTGGTCTAATCAGAATTCTTTGTCCAATTGGAGCTCTTAGTCCAGTTGGAGCTAGTGTGGTCTGTTTGAGGGAGCAGTTGCGGTCTTGGGGGATGGGTGGGTTTGGGCAGCTGAATGGGGATTGTAGTATACAGTGTCTGATGATGGGGTGGTAGTAAGCCTGCCTGCAAAAGCCCTGCCTGCTGGCCTCCAAGTTGGGCTGCAATGGGTGGGGGTTTGGGGTACAGGTTGTATTCCTGGGCCTAAAGCCTAGAGGCTAGGGTCATCAGGTAGGAGAACAGACTCCAAATTGAAATCTTTTAAGATGGGAAAATCATATATTTTATTTGGGGATTAATTTGA